ATTCACTAAGGAAGTAATTTTCTTTTTCCTGTTAAGTAGCAAGCAACTTATTTCACTAACTGACAGAAAGACGAGGTAGAAGACAAGGCCTGATTTCCAAAGGCATTTTGTTAACACCCCTGCTATGTACTTTGGTACCTTCACAAATCTGACGCTCCCCTTCTTCCTACTACTAAGTGAAAGAAAACAATGTTAACCAGTGTGGATGGGGAGTGGAGAAACAGTTCCCGGATGAGCAGGGAGAGCTGCAGCATCCTGCTGCCATAGGCACTTCCCTCCCGAACTCACCACTCTTTCCCTGTTTCCTCCCACTTCCAGGACTCATTAATTCCCATAAGTTTTCTTTCTCAAGCTCACAGCTAAGGGAAAATTTTTATCCCAATGTCTTTTGCTTTTTGATCTGAGATCCACTCTTTTGCTGAGCTCTTAACATATGTCTCAGCYACCTTCCCTGGTCTTGGCTCTTTTAAAAGATGAAGTGCTACTGAACAGCAACAGTTTCATACGTCTAATAACCTCATCTAATATCCCCGGCTTTTCCATGTCATTAACTCCTCAGTTGCTTATTTAAAAATACCTGGGGAAATAAATTCCCCACCCTGATGGAGAAGTTCATTCCCAAAGCAGCCTCACATGAAGAGGCATCATTAAAGGATCAGACATTGCACAGCTAATATTCAGCCCTATAGAATGCCATTAAAAAGCAGTTATACTCAAACACCACTAAAATTTTACAACAGAGTAACATCTTATAAGCTGAGACTACACATTAGGTAAATGTGAGCACCTTCAAAATGACATGCTCTTTATTTTTTCCTGTTGTCTGCAAAACTATGAGCCTTCCTGCCCCGGTTCATGATTTGCATCTTCTTACCCAAGCTGCAACGGGTAATATTAGCCTCGATTGAGTATTTTCTGACACATCCTAAGCACTTGTAGAAACTGAAGCTATCTTGTCACACATAATGGGCAGGACTCATGCCCATCTTTCCCCATCCCAGATTTGCCCCATCTTTCCCTCCCCAGACCTACCAGTGCCTGCCCAGCCACAGCTGTGCAATAATCCACWGGGAATGTGGATGTTTGGGAGGGTTATTTCTCAGTTCCACGGCACATTTCTCTGTGTGGCCAAATGCACAGAGGCTACTGATGGAATGGGTACAAATTGCTGAATGTAAATTACATCTACTGGAGAAGTGCATGTGGAAAGAAGACGGAGATATTCTGACTATCCTAGCCTTTAAAAAAAAAAAAAAAAAAAAGTATATAACTGTGATCTTATAGTTTATTAGAGACTCTTTTGTTTCTGCCTAAAAACATCCCGCTTTTCCTGAAGAATGGCATTTATTTAGCTCCAACTTGCTATAAATCATTGTGACTCACTGCCTGCCAAAGCAGTAACATCAATATACACCAAGTTAATGTATGTCCCTCCCTTTGGGTCAAAAGGCTGATGTCAGACAACCTGTTGGATGAACAAGGTGAAGGATGAACAGCTTCTCTTTAGCTGTGTGCGTATTCCCAGAGCGCGATGTGTAGGTGCACGTGTAGGTGCTCAGCTGCAGCGCAGCTCCACGAGAGAAGCCYGAGCTGATCTCCCTCCGACAAAACTCTCTCTGAAGTGATGCAGATTGAGAAAAGAAGACATTAATGCAGTAAAAGAGCTTAGGCAGATCCGGTAAAAAAAAAAGAAGCAGTCAAATAACTTGTTATGGGTTTCCAGCTCTTTTGCAGAGCGGAATTAGCTTAACCAATTTCCGCACTTTTGGTAGAATATTCACTGAACAATCCAATTAGAGAAATAGAAATTGAATGGGCAGCCAATTGGAAAAATAATTGCTCAACCTTTATCCTCTCCAGCTGATTTTTGAGACTCTGAACTCAAGAGCCCAGCTAATGCTAAGCATGAATTGATTTGTCAGAGACTGAATTAATTTCATTTGGGAACAGTCACGTTTGAAGTAAAACTTCCTCTAACCAAAATTTAGTGTTTTCGCTTGGATAAGTGTAACCAAATGATTAAATATTGGTGCTTTGGGAATGATTATATCCTGAGGTTATATCTTCTTTGTGCCGCTAAGAGCAGGAGCAGACTGTTTGTGGCAGCAACCTTTAGACTAGCAGTTTTAAAACCAGAACAAGAGGCAGAAGTCCCAGAGCTCCTTAAATACCTGGTAAGATGAATAACCTTTCAATACTTTATTTCCTTGATGGATATACTGTGAGGAAATATATTTACAAGCCCAACTGAACTTCCACATTTGTTATTAATTTAGGAATTTGTTCCAGGAATTTCTCTGAGACAAGAAGCTCTATCTAAAAGGCTCCAAAAATCTAAAACCTGTGTAGATAGGCACAGATAGCTCAGAGTGCTGTGCTCTCTGAGAGCTAACCCTGAATACTAGAATCCATCACAAGATTATCCAGGTATTCTTATTATAGGAAACACTACCAATACAAGAGTTAAAAGAGGAGGCTGGTATGATTTTAGCTTAATGAAACTCCTTTTCATCCAAAAATAGAGCTAAAAAGCATTTCTCTCACTGAAGGTCACAAACTGTTTGAGCATCCTGAAGAACTTCATGGCAGTAATACTATCCAGACCATGATTAAGTCCCTTCATTTCCTGGCAATAGCTCAGTTTGATCTAGCTTGCTGTTAGGATGCTTACTCAGTGCTGAAGCAATTAAAGCCAGTCACCTCGTCACCAAATAATATTTAAAAAAAAACAAAACCAGAAACATTTGCTAGAGAGAAACTGGCTAAAGACTCATAAGCTCAAAATTTTGCTTGCAAATCTTGGTGAAATCTTTGCATAGCTTTTCTCAGCAGCTAATCAGAATGAATTGTTTTCCAAAGGGAGAGCTTCCCACGAGGGGATTTACACAGTGCTGCTCTTCTTACACATCTGGTATTCCTAACTCTCCTCTTTAAACTCTTTAGGCCAAAACTCTCTTTTTATTCGTGCTTTGGACAGCATCTAGTAAAAGAAGATATTTCAGTTGGAAACAGCAACTGTTATGCCCTTATACTTTTTCTTATGTCACTGCATACCTTGCAGCCTACAATTTTGAGCTAAACCTTTTTAGCTTGTTACCATGCAAAGAACGCAAGCCTTTACCCCAAAGAGAAAACTACCCCTAAGTAGTTAACTAGTATCCCTAAGTGTTAGACCTTACATACTTGGCTGAAAACTAATAGATTCATAATCCCTACTGAAATGATCACACGTAATTAATTAATACTTGCAAGTATTAATAGAACAAGCAATAAAAACTTATTTAAATGAGTGGAAGCTGAGCACATATTTTCAATATGTTACTGATAGGGGGTAAACTAAGAATGTGGCAAAACGCTTTCCTAAGTTGAGGCCTTACGCCAATTAAAACATTTTAGCTTCTATCTCAGGTGCTCAGAATCAGATATAGAAGATTTTAGAAGTAGGAAACTCCTTGAGATACAGGGACAGTTTTTTTTTTCTTTTTTCCCAATTTTAGTTTATAGATATATGTATTCTGCAAGCTCTTTTCTATCTCCTACTGTTTTTTCTTATTCTTAATTAACTCTTTTCTAATTGGGAAAGGTCCTTTCCAACCAGTGAAGTGTTTTTGGATTGCTCAATAGATCTAATTAGCATTAAGTCCATTTATCTTCGAATCRAGCATTTTCTGCTCCTGCTGTCTTCCAGCATTTAATGAATTAATGCTTATTAACATCTCGGGGTTTTTATTAAAGTTTGTGCTTTAATCTGAAAGTTTGAAATGATGGTCCCTGGATTTGGAAAACTCCRCCGTCTGTGAACTCAAGGGAGTGAATGGCAAGGAAGGAAGGACAGAGGAGTTCAAGGACAGTAAAGATGCACAGAAAGGARGCAAATCACTGAAGAGCAACCCAAGACTAAACTGAACCAAAGTCTGATGCAGTTCCATCCTAGTCTATTCCCTGTTCAGTGATCTAGTGGTTTTTTTTTTTCCCCAGAGTACAGAAAAAGGCTACAAAGAAAATCTGTGGAAAGAAAGCAACAAATACATTTTTTAGAGATTTTAGGGACACTTCTTTGCACGTTGCTTTCAGCCCTTTTCCCCGTGGGTACTAACGCTAAAAGCATGACAATGCTGCAYGGTGCCCTCACAGAGTGACCCTGGTGTGACACAGCAGTAACAGTGCAAGGCGCAGAGGAGCCCTTCTGAGCTCCGCTCTGAGCACAGAAACCACTTCTTTCTGCACTTCTCCACTTCTCTCTTTTCTGCCTCCTTTCAAAGGAAGCCGATGTCAAAGCTTGCCCAGTGGAGCCTTTAGTCGGAGACCAACCGTCCATGACTTTCTTGATACAACCTGGCATCGCTCACAGTGAAATACTATTTATTTCCATTGGTTTTGAAAGCGAGAGAGGTTTAGCAGGGCTTAATAACCCCAAGGAAAGGAAATCCAGGAAGAAAACAGTTGGGGGAAAGGGCACCATGAGCGACTGACTAATTTAGTTTTATTATTTCTTCCTATAGCAAAGGAACATTAAGCAAGATAATAGGCTCATTAAACATATTATTACAAGATATAAAAATCATTCGGTTTAAAAATTAATAATCTTTTCAATAGCTTCTATCATGTATTCTCAACTTTTCTATCTAAACAGGAAAACTCTCCCTAACACTTGAAACATAAAAGTATCTGATGTTTAGAGGCTGATATCTTCCTTTATATAGCAAGATAGTTCAATTTAAAGCACCATGTTACTCAACACTGAAAAATCTTGGCTTATATTAATTCTAATTATTTTCCAAAACAGCTTTTCACTGTGCTGTAAATGAGATAGCTGGCATGTTAGAATAATGCTGCAATGTTCTCCTAATGCTCCTTAGTGCCAAAAGAGGACTCAGGGCCATGCTCCAATACTCCCACCATTTCTGAAATGAGCAAAAAATGTATTTCTGGAGTGTTTATAATAGGCTGAAAGACTCTCTGCAGTCTTTGCTTTACTTAGAATGATTTGGGGTCTGTCCTTGAGCTTTGAACAGAAGAGTTTACAAGGAAACAACAGACACTTCACAGCAAAAGACGAGTTTGTTGGCTGTGCCATAGACTGGCTTGCTTGGTGCACGGAGCAGAACGCAGGGTTTGGGCATGTTGTCATGTTTAATGTCACTGCAAGCAGATGTTGCGTAGTCAGCGTCAGAGAGCTGCTTAAGTCAGAAGAAAAACAATGAAAACAAGCATCCCTCTAAGTTCTCCCAACAGCCCTTTCACATGGATCGTACCTGGAAGATAAGCCTGCAATGCAGGCTGCGGGTCTCTCCCTAGTCTTGAGAAGRTGCCCTGCAGCTGGCTGAGCCACCAGCAGTAGAGATACTTGTGAAGTGGGTCAAACCCATAGCAGCTCAATAGTTGATGCAAAATTTTACAGCTGGTCAAAGGACCTAGTCAAGAAGAGGTAGAAGAGGGAAATTACCATTAMTTTCATGTTGGCAGATAACATCCCATTGCTCTCCCAGCCCCTTACAGTTCCAAAAGTGACTGCAGCCTTTGGATTACTCTGCTTTGCCTCAGGGAACAAGCTCTCACCTGAGGGTAAATATACAAATGATTATTTCAACCCGCTTTGCACATATACATCCATGAGTTGCAATGACTATTCCAGAAATGGATGCACAGATAGAGTCTATGACTAAAATAGAACTGTACAAATAATTTACTGTGGTTGTTTAAACATGCTTCCCCATAATTGCAAATCATTTGAGAATGGATTGTTGGTTTCTTGAATAATCCCCAGACAGTTTTCCCAAATAATCCTTAATTTGCAGCATTCATGCTCACAGGAGATGTTCAATATTCAAATTCTGATGTGAATTGATTGGAAATTCCAGTCACAGGAAATGGATTCTCACATACTAATACTTCTAAACTAGGTTTCTAGTGCCATATTTTATCATTTTAAAACTTATGTTCTGCAGGCTTCCTTTCAATATTTGTTTTGTATTTGCTGCTTCAAAGAACATTTCTGTCAGAGAAACAGTTACTTAGAATATTTGAAAAAGTGGTATATGAGATATAAGCAGTGTTGAAATAAGTGGATTTAACTATTCAACTTTATATTTATGGCTGCATTTTTCCATGTTCACTTATGGTTATTTTTACCGACATGGCACAGAAATGACAGTTCATGTAAATTATTTCTTTATGCAAAACCTAAAATATTACCAGTGTATATATAGATTGTACAACAACATCCAAAGGTTCTCAGAAAGCCCGGGCTTTAAAAAGAGAAGATACAAGAAGACATGCGAGCAGTATCAAACAGATAAAAATCAGTGTTTGCAGTGCTGGAAGGCATAGACRGATTGCCCTGCCCTTGGTGGAAGTCATCTTTTTGTATAAATACTGCCAGACTTGACTTTTATCTTGTTTCAGAAATCATTCCAAAACACACACAAAAAGTGTTTAGCCCAAAAGGGCATCACGTGGCATTTGCAGCATCTCCCTAGGGCAGCGCACAGTACGGGCTCACCTGCTGGGACTGCCTGGAGAGCTAACAACCCATTGATGGTTCAGCGCTGCAAAGACGGAAGTGTTATATTAGTGCTTAATTTTTCTCACTATCTTTTATTCTCTTGTTATTTGTGCCACCTTCCTCTCTGCAGCRCCTCAGGTCTAGCAGAGGAGTCTCACCTTTAAGAGACACTCCAGGGCCCTGCACTTCATACGAGGGAGACACATTCCTGGTTTCTGCGACTGCTGTCAGTGGCTGCAGTTCAACAATTTGTCTCTCATTACCTATTTATTCCTGCTGCATTTTAATTCTCTCAAGGCGTAGGCCCCTCGAATAAAAAAATATATATTTGTGCTCATTTAAAATAAATGCAATAGGTGCAGAGAGAAGATAAAGATGGCTTTGAAGTCCTTTTGCAGCAATCCCCCTTCTGAAACCAGGGATCCAGAGCTTGAAGTCTGAGCTCCTTAAGTTAATTTTCAGAAACGTCCTGACGTGCCCCTGGTGGGTGCCTGGTGAAGAACAAGACAGGCTCAGTAGSGGGGCTTGACTCATCTCCTATGACAATCCAAGGAGGAGGATGTAGAAGAGACATATTCCAAGGAAAAATTCCATGGATTCATCTTCCAAACAGAGGTTACCACCTGCCACTCCTCTACTAAGATCCTGTCCTATGTGAACTGGATGTTCTGCTCCTCAGAGCAAGGAGGCTCTGAACGTGCATCCCAGGAAAGGCTTCCTCAGGTTTAACTTCCAAACAGAGGAAATGCTTCCAGATTCTGTGCAGAACTGGTGAGAGCAAATGTGGCAAGTGCTCTCCGCACCTGGGTAGCACAGAAAGGCATCCAAGTAGTAGGAAAAAATGAAAAAAAAAAAAAAAACTTGGCTAAGAATTTTGGCCATAAGCTTTCAAGCAGCAACTGGGTAAGTGATATGCTGGAGTTTTTTAATCTATGTGAGAATGTTTCTAAGCATCCCGAAACCAATAAAGGCGCTTGGCAAGTTTCCATTCAGCTTCCTTTTTTCACTGTCAACACATCCTAAGTTGGCAAAGCTTTGTATATTTGGTTGGGTTTTTAAATTTAGTGCTTCTTCAATTATTTATTCAACTGAGTTTCAACATGATTAGCTAGTATCTGAACAAACTCCTTAGGCAGTCTTAGAACCAGGGTATTTAATAATAATAAAAAGGCATACAGAATGACTGAAAGTTATTTACAATCTTCAAGAAAAAGAATACAAGCTACCAGTACCTAAATGAAACTATAGTGATAGCGGCAGAGTCAAGTTCGAGACCATATTTCTGACCATCAGTCTAAGCATCACAGCAGAGATACTTGACAAAGAGAACATCAATGACTGGGGGGTGGGATAAATCATTTTAATTTAGGAAGCAGTGAAGAGGAAGGACTGTGTGTATTGGAGACCTCATTTTTACAGCTTTATTTTTTCAAGGAAAAAAAATAACCCTTTCTTTTTTGAAGAATATCAGGTAAAGAACAGAGCAGTGACAGGCTTTTCTTTTACAAGATGCAGGGACTACAAACAGGAACCAAGCCAGAAGACTTCCAGCTTCAGCTAGGGAAGGGGAGGCAAGCCAACAAAATAGTAAGATATGGAAGGGAGACGGAAAGAAAAGAGGACAGAAGAGTTGGGTGAACGCAGCTACCGCTATGCCAGGCAGCACCGAATAGGTGTTTTATCTACCTGGCGGAGCAGATGAAGGCACCGCGGCAGTGCGGAGCGGGGAGATCAGAGAGGCCGGCTCAGCAGGGAGATGTCTGTGCTCAGAGGGACAGAAGTGGCTGAGGAGAGCCAAGACTGAGCTCCTCCAGGCTGGGACTGCTGCAGATTTGTGCTCTCCTTTGYGCATGTTAGCAGGTGCCTAAAGGGTTAAGCGAGGAGATGTACAATTTTAGAGTCCCTGCACATTCAGGGTTTCTTACCTCCCCAAAAGCTTTTTTTTTTTTTTTTTTAAATAGAAAAGGAAGCTAAACTTCAACACAAAAGAGTTGAAAGAAGCTGAAAGTTTAACATTTGAAAATATCAGAACAAGAGATTTTAATTCTTTTCCAGAAGATAAACCTCCCTTTTCTGTTATCAGCAATTATATTCATTCCTAGTTTTAATTACATTAAAGTGCATTTTTTGGTGAGCAAACTATTTGCTTGATATCTAGTTTTATCTGGTACCTGTTACTGCAGTGCTCAAGAAATGAGGTGTCAGTCAATACTGCAGATCCTGACRAGAGAAGGTGCACTAGATGGAACACAAAATACATAACATAGTTCCTCCATTTAGTAGGAATAATCACACCTGCTATTCACCTCAAATTGCTGTGCCTGCAGGAGAGGATCCAGAAGAGAAAACTGGGGGAAATTCCCCATTATTTTTTTTGCATTAGATTTTGCAGAAGAGCCTGAGAGAACACACACATCCACTCAAGTGAGGGTTAAAACTGCCCTTGTTTCCTGTAGCTTACTAATTCTCCACCTGTGCTGTCCATCATGGGCAATTTTCAGCTCTCTACAGAATTATGTTGTGTGACTCCTATATAATAACAGGCAAAAGATTTTAATAACAGCAGGTTCATTTTTTTCCCTACAATCCTTTAAGACCTTCATTTTTCTCCAAAATGAAATTCACATTTTTCTTGCCCCTTGGCAGGACAAAYGCACACACACACACACACATTTCAGGCTGGTCTGGTGCACGTATACACGCTTTTTTAGGGTCACTTATATTTCATTCTATGCACCAATGGCTCATTAAAATAATATGCAGGTAAAACACTTCCTAATCACTTGTTATTAATATCTCTAGTGATGTTATTCCTATCAGTTTGTGTTTATCTTCTGCTTAAAGCTGTGGTAGAACAGTTATGTTCAAGAAGAGCTTAACTGAGTTATAATTTCTAAATAACTTCTTGGATATTCCTTGGAAGTTAAGGCCTGCCAAAAAGAAAAAAAAATAAAAAAGATATAGTAAATAAATTATAGATGCTCTGCATATGACTGCTCTTCCTATTTCCAACATTCTGGCCAAGTGGGGAAAGCCAAGCCCCGGGGAGACTGGGTCACAGTTAATTTGGTTGTCAAGGAAGAATATTAAATGAGAAAAATCACATTTTCTCCTTCATAGAAAAATGCAGGAAGCATATTTACTTTGCATGTATAAATAACATGTTTTATTGCTCTATTTTAACATCTCTTTCCCTCCGACCACCTCCAAGAAGGTTTCCATAGAAACCTAAGAAGGCAAGAAAGAGGAACATAATTTGTGCTCAGTTTATATTGATTTCAAATACCACTGTGCTTATACCAACAATGTGGCTTCTGTGCACTTTTTTTTTTTTTTTTTTATCAGCTGAAAATCTAAGTGATAGAGTTGTTTAAAATAGCATTTTAGATTTAGCACAGTTATCAAAAACAGCATTTGCAGTTCAGTCTATCACCTACCCAAGTTGTGGCATTGCAGAACAGCAAAGATGAGCAGCTTCCTAGGCAAGGGCAATGAGCTCCAGCACGACAGGGACCGCTTTGGAATTGCGATGACTCTCCATTCTTGCTCTTCTTTCCTGTTGCTGCTTTAAGGTACTATAGTTAATATATTATAACCTTAATAGGCTCCAAACATGAATAAACTTGGTATGATACTAGACTTAAAGAATCAGCAATTTCAATTTGTTTTCCGGGATCCCTTATTTCCTCTGCCTCATCAGTTCTGGGTGAGAGAGAACTATTTAGGCACATGCGACTGCACACACATTTATAGATTAAAAAAAGGGGGGGAAGAGGAAATTTATGTATTGATTTTTAATATCTCTTTCTATTTCACAGTGATTATTAAAGAAGATCTAGGAATTGAGGCTTTTACTCTTATTTTTTTTTTCCTTCACCATGGTCATATTAAAGATATTAGTTTTTTTCTCATTCTACTTTGGTCAAACAGCTTTTATCAGGCTTCTCAAGCAATCACAGGGACCACACCTTCCCACTGGAGCTCTCCTGTCCTTTCTGTATTCACAGACACCAGGATACGCTACACCAGATAGCAGAACTGCAACTGCAGAACAAGCCAAGACACCATTTGTTGAGGATTTTGGGGTTTATGTTGTAAATTACAACCTTATTCAAAGATCATATACCACATCACTTGTGCAGTGAAGTCAGTGCTTATCCTTAGGCCCAGTCTGTTAATGAGCCCAAAGCAGGCAGGGAGAAAAGGATCTCCTGGTAAAATGATGTAATTTGTGCCCAACAAGAGGTTAACAGCCTTGGCACTTGAATGACAGCCAGAAAAGGCCAAATTTCTGTTCCGGCTGTTTTAAAAAAAGAAACACATTGGCCTATCTTTCCTTATTCTCCAATAGTGAATGTAAAAATAGAACGATGCACTCCAGAGGGCTCCAAGGGCTCCTTTCATTAATGTGAAAAATCCATCATTTATAGCTCTGCAGCATGAATAGGCTTGGAAGACATTTAATCACTAGTAAAAATGCCGTAACCCCAACCCCACTCCTGCAGAAGTATATATAGCTCAGGGCTATTCATTTGGGGTTGTCTGGAAGCGCTGGAGTGTCTCATAYGCTCCCGACAGTGAATGAGAACTAAGGAGCATGTAGTGAGAACTTCTGGTCCAAAACACAACTTACACTGAAAACAAATTGAACCATTTGGAAGAGTAGATAAATGATGTGGGTTACTAACTTGCTAAATGCAATATCTTTTGCCTGAGAACTTTCCAACGAGGATCAAGTTACACTTTCGATCTCTGCTATGCTTCCTGGCGTGATATACAGCAAATGGTAAAGCAGCTGTAATAAAATCTTGCTATTAAGCACAGGAAGGACTAATCTATATTAAAGTTCAGATCCTTCCATGACAAGACTTGAAGTTTCTGTACAGGAAACTATGTGGTCTTTTGTTTTCCAGTTGCATGCTGAGAAAGAAAGAGATTTTGCTGTGAAAAAAAGGCTGTTTTGAAAAGTTCCTTATGCTACCAGAGGGAGCATAATTAAATTAAACGGCCTTTTTGGCTGGTTACTTACAAAGATCTGCTTCTGTTATATGAGATAAGATTTCTAAAAATACTTCTATCCAACAGTCTACGGTCTCATTACACTGCAATTAAAAGGTAGATGCTAGTGAGATCTGCATGATTCCCTGGGTTTTCAGCAGTAATTTTCAGTATAAAGCCTCCCCAACTTTTCAAATCTGCTGATCTTTAACTTCAGTATGTTCCTTAGTCCATAAAGTTCTGCTTTGAAGATCTGTATCACTGAAACTTTAGGTTCTGATTCAAAAAGATACCTGTGGTAGGAAAGCTTTGTTCTTAGGAGTGGAGGAGAAGTCAGTAGCTAGTGCAAATATTAAAAGTAATGGGCAGCATCCACAACTTAACAAGTCTTCAATTGATTGTAGTTAGTCAAATCCAAATCTCAGATACACACACTTCTTTAAAGATGGACATCAATTTCCCAGGCTTTTCATTTTTCATGTCATCCTACTTCATATGCAGAAAATGGGATAGAAACAGGCAGATGCAGTTTCCATCCCTCTTCTCTTCCCACGTTTCTGCAATTAGAGGCAAACTCTCCGGGCGGAAGGTGCCTTTGCCAGCTGGTCCACGTGTGCAAGGTAGAGCACAACAACCCCAGCCGGGCTGTTAGGCACATGTGCCTGTAGAAGCACAACTACATGATTAGCAGCATGCATAATTCAGAGCGCTTGCAGCTGAGCCTTCGTTGCCTTCATCAGGGGAGGAGGACAACGTGTTCCATAGAATAAATTAAAACTCAGAGCAATCTAAAGATAAGCCATAAAGAATGAAGAATCGCACTCAGATAGCAAAAGGTCAGCAGAGGGATGAGTGAGTACTGCCACGCAGGACAAGGAGGATGAAGGAACCAAAAGGTGTCAATTCAGGGCAGTAAATCACTGGAAGGTTTGTGGTTCAGAAACAAAGGTGGACTTACTTATAGTTAATTCTTTTGAAGCGAGATAAACTAAAAAAAATATCAAGACCATTTTAATTCTGCCTGGATATACATAACAGGATATTATATATTTTCACTAATCCACATGAAATCCAAATTCTTTTGACTTAGTTTTATTGCATGCCCTTGAGTAGACTACACATAACATAATCCAGCTTGAAATATCTGACTGTATTTTCTTATTTGCCTACTCTATTCTTTTTCATTTTTTTTTTTTCTTTCACATATCTGCTGTTGCTATCTGAATTTCAAGATAAGTGTTCCATAGGAGGCTGTGATTTTTTTCTTTCAGAAAGAACCATCTGGAGAAAACAGCAATATTGCCAATGCCTAGTATTAAAATAGTGAGTCAGACCATTAAAAAAAAAAAAAAAAAAAAGAAGAGATTTATTTAAAAGAGCATTTTCCCCCCACAAACAACGTATTTATATTTTAATGTGCACCTGATATTTTAAATGAACTCCAGGCATTTTTTCAAATGGTAATAAAGGAGAAGCAGATATTCCTACATAACCACTGGACCGCAAGAGCCACTGCTTTAATGAAATGACCAGATATCAGGAATTCCATAATCCAGTCCTAAGAATTTAAATTGTAAAAGTCAGGAGCAATGTCAATACTATATCTGTTTATACTATGGATCAGTTAAAACAGAACTTGCTCAGCAGGAGCTCATATGGACAGCTGAGTTTGAATACTGCACTGGTTAGAGGCAACATGGAAATGACCTGTTTCTCTTTATTTTTTTCCTTATAGCTTGCATGAAGCAGAAATTCTGCTTGCTAAAGAGAATGTAATTGAAATCCTTTTTTTTTTTTTCTTTTTTTTCTCTCTCCTTCTTCTTCTTCTGATCAAGTAATCTTGACCTACCCCAGATGTGTCTGACTTATCTGTTTGTCCATCTGGTATCTAGATGTTGTCCACAATAACTACAATAGTTTAAGAAGCTTTTATTTCTTAAACTAAATTCGGAAATAAATGTCCCTGTTTTAAGATACAGATAATACAAGTGCTGCAGAGCACTTCCTTTAGTAACAGAAATTTCACACAATCTAGTGTTCTGCAGCCAAGTCTGTCAGGCCACAGATTCCCTAAAGTGCTTTATGAGAAAAGTACAAGTATCTCAAGATCAAAAAATTTAAAATGAGTTAATGCAAAGAAGAAATAATTCTCACCTATAATCTGCTTCCCTCAATAGGTCCCTCTGTGCATTAAAATCAGCTAAGAACAACATGGCAGAAATGCTTATTGCCAGGAACTAAGCTCGGAGTTGAACAACACAACACCAATAAGGTTGGGATAGAGAAGGGATTCTTGGGATTGCAAATCCAACTAGGACATTTAGTCCAAAGTACCTGGAAGTAAAGCAGGTTCTAGAGCCTCACTCAGGCCACTCATTGGGATTTCCAGAGGAATCTCCATGGGAAGCTCCCCACAGCCAACCTCTCCCTGTCCAGGCAAGTCCCTGTGCTGCTCCTCAGGCAACCAAGGGCAGAAGCATGGAGAGAAGAGCACCTTTCTCCTAAGTCCACACTTCCTGCAAGCCTGAGGCCTGTCACAGTATCAAGCCTCAAGCCCGCTTGTCAATACAGAAGTTTGAAAGGCAAAGAGTATGTTTTCCATCACCCCACTCAAAAGTATTATTTTGTCCTAACTTGTGCTGGCTGAATGTATTAGCAGCTCTTTAGTGCTCGGCACTGCATGGGAGCTTTATGCCACATACAATATGAGTTGCATAAGAAAAATTACTGGCCTGCATGCTGAGATACTTGATGAAGGACATGTCTACCTCATTTTTCTTTCTGCAGGCATAAATATACCATAAACAATGTTAATTATAAAGTAGCTCTCTGGAGAAATGGAAATTTCTTGAAGAGTCAGAACAAATGCTCCGTCCAGGCCATGTCCCACTGAGACCCAATTTATTTCCTTTTATGAGTCGCATATTTTTCCCAAATTACCTCTTCTCTAATTTATTGATTTTCCTAACAAACCTCAACACAGAAAGCTCCATGAGCTCTTTATATGTTCTTCCTAGTACCTACATAAAATGGAGCAAGATGTACTTAAATATGTTATTGCAGCCCAGGGTTATAAACATACATATTTTACAGTAAAAGTTCAGTCTGAACTTTAAGTTAGACATAATCAATCAGACACTCTGTAGACACAGTGGCACCTCTTGCATTTCCATCAGAGGCTTTTTGCAGAAAGGCTTTAATTTCAGTATGAACATTTTAAATAAATTTCACAAGGAGTAAATAAAGGGAAACATTATCAAACATGCACATACAGCTACCAAACAGCAGCTTTCCTGGGCGGATTCCCCTATCTACAAGATTTCCTCATGACTGTTCTCATCTGGTGTGATAGGACAACCATCCATTGTCCAAGCCAGCAATCCTACCCGCGCCATATCTCTGTGATCCAAAGCAGCTGCCTCCAGGTGAGCTAGGGGGATATTATGAAAACCGTGAGGTTTCTTCAAAGTTTTGGTTGTCATGACCTCCATGACAAACCTTCAGTGTAAACCTGACACTGCACCAATACTTCCTCTGGCCATTGCAAACACAGACCAGGTATCATAAGCACAAGTTCTGAGAACTAGCAGGTAGCCACGCACACTTCTCTCAGTTCCTCCCAGCACACAACCCTCAACTCCACAGATCTCGAGGCTTAAGAAAATATTACCAACAGCATCCACGAATGACAATGGACAGTGGACAAACAGGACCACACAATCTCACAAAGCAAAGTAATTTACATCCTGCCCTAAACATCATATTCCACCCCTGTATTTTCCCTGTACTTTCAACTGCACAGTTGTGATCTAGCCTCTTCCAGTCCTAAGATCTTGTGTGGTACCACGCTGCACTCATTGCAGTTCCTGCATTCTGCTGTGGTAGAAGGGGAAGTCACACCAGATGCTGTGCAAACATAGACTTGTTTACAACGTGACTCATATTTTGGAACCAGATAAATACAATCTTTAAGGAGGCTATATGTTGGAATGGAATATGGAACAACTATAGAATAAATTCTGTGTTCTGTCTCCTGTGGGCTGCAGAAGTTACAGCAGACTGAGGAAGCGACCACTGATCCATGTTGCATCTCCAGAGGCAGCTCCATGGGCAGGAGCAGCCTGAGCAGTCGGTTGCTGGTAGTCTTGTTCCATGCTACTTACCCAAAGCCAGAGCTGAGAGGTCCACAAGAAGCTGAGGAGGGCGGAGCTGTACCAAAGCACACAGTGAGCTCTGTTTTAAGCTTCAGTTCATATCTTGCTTAGAGCTTAGCCCAAAATTGGGCCTGCCTTTTAGGATCCTTCAAGAAAGAAAATAAATTAAATGTAATGCAATTAAAGCGAACATAGCCTAGCATCTAAGATGAAATATTCAGGAATAGGTATTTACACATGTGAGGGAACTGAGGGTGAATTATCCTCAGCATTTAATTGAAGAGCTTCCTCTAAAGGAAAGAAAACCTGTTTTGATACTTTATTTTGCTAACAAGATGCAGGATAAAATGACTTCCTAGTTATTATGCTGAAATATGTTATGCATATTCAAAAGCTATCTCTGAAGAACTGAAACAATTTAGACAAGATGAGTTACTGAATACATGAAAGGAATTGACTTCACGATCCAGCTAATGATTAGATAGACTCAACTGTTAAAAATAATGACTGAACCAAAAAATGTACATTCACATTAACTGTAACAACTAAAAGTTAGTGTGAGCTTGCAGGCAGAAGAACAATTTCATTTTCTATTTGAATTGTTAGTTTTTCATTTGTCTTCARAATCAAAAACCAATTTACATTCTTTGCCCATGTGGAAACTCCACATCATTTTTCTTACAGTTCTGCTCTGACTAAAGGATCCTCAATTATTAGAGCAATCCGAAATACTGCAAAAGTGCTTTAAATAGTCGAGGACGGTGATAGCATAATAGTGAGCATTCATCCAACAGTTCTGGTTGCCTACTTAGCACACTTCTTTTAAGATGAATTGAACAGAAATTCTTGGATTACTTTAAGCCAAATACCTGAAAAAAATCCTATCCAAATGGCATCTGTTGAACACGATTGTGCGATACCTTCCTGCCACTACTGAAGGTTCTGAGCAGCTCAAAGCAGAGCTGCCCAGGCACACATTGGGTACACAGGAGAATGAGCAGSTGGACTAAAACCTATAAATCCTTGAGAATTAAAATTAACCGAAAACCAGTGATACCTGGGAAGAGTGTCTTCCTGACTATCGATATTCTTCAGCACCCTCCATGAGTAGAAGAGGAGTTAATATATAGATTGTATTTCTGCTAGTTTAGAAAGTTCCTAGTGTCAGCACTCAGAGAAAGACCTTTTCCTTGAAACAAGCTAAAACTACGTTGAGGCTAAAGAACAAACAAAACAGGCAATATATAATAGTAGTAATAACTAAACAAGCAGCCTTGAACAGCTGGAATGTTTTTCTAAGCCTTTCCCAAGGTGACTTCCTCCTTATAGAAGGAATACAGTAATGCAAGCAAATAAGTTAGATCACACCTTTACCTTAGAGCAACTCCTTCCCTCCTTTTATTTCCCCAGGTACAAGTGACGAGATCCTCACTTGAGAATAGCAGCATTTCCCCTCCCTGGCAGCAGAGATCCCTTGTGACTAAGAGCAAAACTGCATGGGCTCCTTGCTCTAATTGCACCAAAAATGTACCGTGCAGCAGCCCAGGAGGGGCAGCTGAGCAGAGGGGAGGAGAGTCACCTGCACCTTGTCCCTGGCGAGGCCACATGGAGGCTCCTGACAGTGGAGAAGGGCTCCAGTGACCTGCCCTGAACAAGCAGAGCTGACCCAAGCCCCCTGGCACCAGGGCAGGGTGGGTGCCAGCACCCTGGAGGCGGTAGCGGAAATCACAATGTGCTCCCAGAGAAGGCTGCTCAACTCAGGATTTTTTAGTTTAGATTTTTTAGACAGGTTTTGAACTTCAAAAGAGGACTGCAAGGACAGGGGTCAGCAAGTCTGAGTCATTTTCTAGCTCTATATTAGATCTGTCTCACCCAAACGATATTTCATTCCCTGCTCACAGCATTAGGGCCTGCCTTATTACCTTCAAATACAATACTTAAGAAATGGGGAGTCTATATTTTTGATATGATCTTTCGACAGGGTCACTTCTTCCTCAAGGCTCTGACTACTAACACAAGGCCCTGTCATCTGTCCTTGGTGTCCTGTCCCCTGGAGCCACTGGGGCTGCCGGTGGGCTCAGGTCTACTCCTTGCACCTGGTCAACTGCAGGGTTTTTCCTTTGTTTAAATTCCGTACATCCCATTAAATAACTCTTTATGTCCCATAAAGGGACACGCACATCAGCAAAAAAAGCCTTCGTGAGAGAAATTTAATAAGAGGAGGCAAAAGGGAGCGGGTAGGCAGTGCTGGAGTAAGGATAGGGAGCAATAAAAAGGTTGGAATAAAGAAAGTTTTAAGAAGAATTTAGGAAGGTCATTTTGAAGCACCTARTCCCCAGGAAGAGAAAGGCAAAGGCCTTCACGCTGGCTTTCCTAATCAAATTAGACAGGATTTGCTGGGCTTACAGCATTTATTGCTCGTGGAAACAGCTAATTGCCCAGTTTTCAATAGCAGCGATCTGGTACTGTGCTGACTAGGGTGGTTTAAACATAGCAGCAGTAACACCCCTATTGGCCTCAAGCTAGTACTTGTAAAGTAGAGAAATTCACTTAGACCCCAATTTTCTATTATAAGGAAAGCTTAAAAAAACCCTCTTGTGCTTTAAAATTAAGTTACCAAGCAACCTGCCATCTCTCAGCTGACACATCAGCCTGCTTGGGTGCCACGCGAACGGCTCTACCCGAAGAGCTGATGCAGCTGAAGGGGCAGCTACACGATTACAGAAGCTGCCATTTGGGAACCTATAGAAACAGCAGTTCTGCTAGGTTTTAAGGCAGAGGAAARAGTTCCAATTAACTTGGGCCAATTAAACATCTTTGACATGTTACCTGAGAATGTGCATTTTAGAATTAGACCTAATTTACAGCAAAATGACTGCCTAAGGGTTCATTTATATGTTTAAATACCTCWGTTAAAGTCTGAAATTTCATGATATCAGCAGGTATCACATGCTTAGAACTACAGCTCAGAGGATCACACGTGTAAATTTTTTCTTCTCTTACAAATCATGTAGGTTACAGAGAGTAAACCAAAACCCCAAAGCTGCAAAGAGTCAACACCTCACCGTGATACTATGCAAAAACCTTAAGTTTCATAGACCTTCAGAAAAATCAGCAAGGAATGCTGCTCTCCTGGTCTACTCAGAGGATTCCCTAAACTTTAGGGAGGTTTCTCTGGAGTTACATTTGGAGCATTGCATCAAATCCTCCCACTGCAGGTGTGATGGGTGATTTAATGCTTCACAAATATAAYAGGCTTCAGCTATTAGTTACTCTGATGAATGCAAACAACAAAACTAAAGTATATGAGAATATTGCTCATTTGAAATAGATGTGCACTGAAGGTAGCTCCACAGAGCCARTTTCCACACCGGACCCCTGTGACAAACTCTATGTGAAGCCGGTGCAAGCCAGTAAAGAATCTGCAAGTCCCACAGCTGCACGAGGAGACAAACTTGGTCTCGACAGCTTGGCCCAAGTTTTGTGGCTGTGCTCCAAGCCTGAACCGGGCCCTGCTGAACTACAGCATTCAGATTTATCACCTCAAATCCACACTAAATGAAGATCTTTGTTATAGAGTAGACCATTGCCATCCCAAATGTTTTGCATGCTTATGGTATCTCAGAGACCAAATGCATTTTCTATTAACATGGAAATTAAAATTTGTTTTTATGGCAAACTCTCTCTACGGCAAACACCATTCAGGTGGATTATTTCATGATTTAGATCATGAAATTAGGAATACAGAGTAAAACCCACTTCACCCATCTGCAGCTGTGCCATCACTCCCAGCATACCAGGAACTAACATTATAGAAATCTAAAATAAGTTTATTTGATAGACAGCCACAAATAGCTGTCTATCAAATGATTGTGCCATTTTCCCACCACCACCATAGTCAGCTTGCCTTTTTTCCTCCTTTTATTTCATTACCCTACTTTACATCATTTTTGCTCATGGAATATCTTTTGCTTAAAGAAAGCTCCAATCTTTTTCATAAAGAAAGTTTTTTTGTAACTACAGAGAACAAGTAATAGTTCAGAAAAGATATGATCATTTAAAAATACTCAACCTATACATCTCACATCTATATTTCTTGGAAGTTAGCTAGTGGTGCAGCCTGAAGATTAAATGTTTTAACTGAAATTTTCCTGATGATTATAAGCAGCTTGTTCTTAGGATCCACATTTCTCTACTAGCAATATATTATTAATACTGAACASAACAGAAATAACAAGTTTGGGAGTAATGACCTTTATAAAGCTAAATTTGACAGAARACTGATATTCTCTCATCTGGTAGACAACATGCAATAAAAATACAAAACCAGGTGGAATTCATTTTGACTGTGGAAGGAAAGTGTCTATATTAAAATACAGTGCTCTAAGGATCTGCTCTCCTCCCAAGAGGATCTCATAACTCAGGCTAGTTCTTATTACAGCATCAATGTATAAACACTTGCTTGCTCCTGCTAAGACAGGCTGGAAATATTTTTCAGGATGTAATACTGCAAGACAAACTCTGTTCTCAGATCACAGCTGCCTGTGCAGACTCTAAACTGAAACTAATCTCCATAAAGTTACTCTGATTAACACATCAGGCTCTTTTACTAATGGTTTAGTACAATAAATATTAACAGGTTGGTACATTAGAGCATGAGCAAAGAAAGAATCAAAGAAAAATCTCATTTAATCTCAGCTATTCCTTTATTTTAGTGGAAGAGAGTTCTGGCTCTTTCCTTAGCAGCTTCCCTTTTATTTTGCTGTGGCTCAGTTGAACTAACAGTGACAAATAAATCTATCCAGAAGGAGGAAAAGCACTGTCGAGACTCGGGATTTTTCACATGCCTGCTTGCCTACTTCTTGCTTGCCTGCATAGCAGGGGAAGGGCAATCTGGTATTGGCCCTTTCTGTTTATGAAGGTAAAGTAGACCTCACATAGGGAACTAATGGGGATCCCTGCTGTTTCTTTGGCACTTACACTGGAGAAAAAATGTAAAGGCTCATGGCTGAGTGCGGCTCTTCGTGACAAAGCACTTTTGCTGCTCTTTTGAGCCATTCCTTTGTCTCCTGGMCACAGCCTCACTTGCTTCTCAGCTGCCTGCTGAATAAAATCYATGTCAGTGAGGACCAAGGCCCAAAATATA